CTGCTGCTGCTGCTGTAGCACCGTTGTTGGTGTGGCTTATTGAGAATACCAAGAAACAATTAACCCCAGAGGATTTGCCACCCAGGATAACCCAAAAAAGTCAGTGTCATCGAAGACTGTCTAACTTATTTCCATTGGGGTCCTTAATCTTGTCTCCCAGGATGCAACCCACACAAGTCGACTAACACCCAGGTGAACAGGGAAAAATGCCTGGAACTAGTGCTCATATTGGTGAATTTAAAGCCAGCAAAGGTTGGTTTGAGAGATTTAAGAATCGTAGTGGCATACACAGTGTGATAAGGCCTGTTCTGGAAGAAAATGCCAAACAGGACCTACAGTACTCAGGAGGAAAAGGCACTCCCAGGACACAGTGTCTCATCAGTCATTGCTGCATCTTCAATAAAGGTAAGTGTCATTTATTCTTCATTTAGTAGACTAGTACAAGCACAATATATACTGTGCATGTACTACTCTACTATTGTGCATGTATCCTTCTCTTTGTGTGTGGGAAAATGTATATTTCATGTGGTAAAAATTTTTTTTTCATACTTTTGGGTGTCTTGCACGGATTAATTTGATTTCCATTATTTCTTATGGGGAAAATTCATTCGCATACCGATTATTTCGCATAACAATTACCCCTCTTGCACGGATTAAAATCGTTATGCGGGGGTCCACTGTATTATTATTATTATTATTATTATTACCAGAGCTGAAAATGTTCCACTTAACATAACACTAAATGAATCACTCATCATAAGACTCACAGAGGGAAAATTCCTAGGAATCCACCTAGACAGTAGCCTCAAATTCCAGACACACATACAACAAATTTCCAAGAAAATCTCTAAGACAGTAGGCATACTATCAAAGATGCAGTACTATGTTCCACAATCAGCTCTCCTTGCACTGTATCATTCACTCATCTACCCTTGTCTCACGTATGGAATTTGTGCATGGGGATCAACAACATCAAATCACCTAAGGCCACTAATAACCCAGCAAAAGGCTGCAATCAGAATGATAACAAATTCCCACTCACAACAGCATACTCCACCTCTTCAAAAGTCTAAATTTGCTCACTATAAAGAACATCCACACTTATTCATGTGCCTACTACATACATAGAACAATACACGCAAACATAAACCTTCCACTCAAACTTCTCACCAACCTTAACAGGATGTTAAGGTTGGTGAGACACAGATCTCTTTTTGATGTACCCCATGTCCATATCACACTGTGTAAAAACTCTATGCACATAAAGGGCCCCAAAATCTGGAATTCATTACCGGAACATACTAAAGTAACCAGGCCTGAAAATCAGTTTAAGACTTCTAAAAAAACAGTTACTCGCTCAGGGCTAAATAATCAACACTCAATATTTAACATTACCAATAATTCTCCTAATTACTTAAATCTTAAAAACTCAAGACAAAATATAACAAATTGATCATCTTTTGTTATACAGTGGACCCCCGCATAACGATATTAATCCGTTCATGAGAGCTCATTGTTATGCGAAATTATCGTTATGCGAATGAATATTCCCCATAAGAAATAATGGAAACCAAATTAATCCAGGCAAGACACCCAAAAGTATGAAAAAAAATTTTTACCACATGAAATATACATTTTCCTACACACAAAGAGAAGAATACATGCACAATAGTAGAGTAGTACATGCACAGTATATATTGTGCATGTACTACTCTACTAAACGAAGAATAAATGACACTTACCTTTATTGAAGATGCAGCAATGACTGATGAGACAGTGTGTCCTGGGAGTGCCTTTTCCTCCTGAGTACTGTAGGTCCTGTTTGGCATTTTCTTCCAGAACATGCCTTATCACACTGTGTATGCCACTACGATTCTTAAATCTCTCAAACCAACCTTTGCTGGCTTTAAATTCACCAATATGAGCACTAGTTCCAGGCGTTTTTCCCTGTTCACCTGGGTGTTAGTCGACTGGTGTGGGTTGCATCCTGGGAGACAAGATTAAGGACCCCAATGGAAATAAGTTAGAGAGTCCTCGATGATGCACTGACTTTCTTGGGTTATCCTGGGTGGCTAACCCTCCGGGGTTAATCGTTTCTCGGTAATTGTTTCACGTTAAGCCACGCCAACAACACTCTCTCCACATCTTCGAGTAATACAGCTGATGGTGGTGCAGCAGCAACAACAGCTGTGGTGCAGCTGACCATGGTGCAGCAGCAGCTGTGGCGCAGCAACAGCTGACCATGGTGCAGCTGCAGCTGTGGTGCAGCAGCAGCTGTGGTCCAGCAACAGCTGACTTATCCAGCAACAGCTGATCGTGGTGCAGCAGCAGCTGACTGATCCAGCAACAGCTGACTGGTCCAGCAACAGCTGATCGTGGTGTAGCAGCAGCTGACTGATTCAGCAACAGCTGACTGGTCCAACAACATCTGATCGTGGTGCAGAAGCAGCTGACTGATCCAGCAACAGCTGACTGGTCCAGTAACAGCAGCTGACTGATCCAGCAACAGCTGACTGGTCAAGCAACAGCTGACCGTGTTGCAGCAGCAGCTGACTGTGGTATGATAGTATTTCTCACCCTTTTTACCACTGGGTTAGCACTAGAGGCTTTCTTGGGGCCCATGGTCACTTATTTTGCAGATGAAATCACCAAAAACGCTGTAATAATACGAAATGTTCCGATTGTATGCTTGGATGTTACCGCGGAGGCTGGCTTGTAAACAATGCCACCGGCGGAACATGTGAAGCTGGCTCAGGCCGCACATTAGAAGCGTCTCGGACGAATAGCGTTGAGCGAGTTTTTTAGCAGTATGCGAGGCAAAATTTTAGTGATAAAATGTATCGGTATGCGGATTTAACGTTATGTGATGCCAACGGTATGCGAGGGTCCACTGTACATTGTAATGTGACAGATTTGTACAATTATAATGCTTCAGTATTGATATGCTCAAATTTCATTGTTTCAAATACTCAATTCTACTTCATATTGTAAATTGTTTACTGTAATTTTTAACACTGAACCTTTCATTGCTTGTTACTTATAAGTTAATTTTAAGCCTGCCCATAATGCTCTGCATACAAGGGGCATTTGGCATGTACACCCAACTACTATAGTTCATTGTACAACTATTTATCATGTCCAAATAAAATATATGAATCTGAATATGAATTATCTCCATGGGGAAGTGGAACAGAATTCTTCCTCCATAAGCCATGCGTGTCGTAAGAGGCGGCTAAAATACCAGGACCAAGGGGCTAGTAACCCCTTCTCCTGTATAAATTACTAAATTTAAAAGAGAAACTTTCGTTTTTCTTTTTGGGCCACCCTGCCTTGGTGGGATACGGCTGGTGTGTTGAAAGAAAGAATAATAATAATAATAATAATAATAATAATAATAATAATAATAATGTGAGCTTCAGAATGCCACCAACTCAGTGCACTGTTTACCTCAGTGTGAGAGTATTTCTCTCATGCTTTGCTTACATTTTCTACAGTCATTTGGCCAAATTTCATTTTTCTAAGCATGGGCCCTAAGAAAGTAAGTGTAAAGACAGTGCTGAGAAGAAAAAGAGGATGACTTCCATGGAATTAAATCATGAAATCATAGGTAAACAAGTGAGGTAAGCAGGTTTTGGGTTGAGGGGGAAGCGGGGGGAGCTGGCTCATTACTCAGATATTGGCTCGTAACTCAGATGTTGGATCGTAACTCAGAGCAAAAAATCGACCGAGCGATGGCTCGTATCACAAAAAACTCATACGTTGGGACACTTGTAAGTCAAGGTTCCACTGTATTTACAGATGGTGATGTAAGAGAAGTGAATGCTCAGGTGATGGCAAGAGGTGTGGGGTTAAAAGATAAAGAATGTAACACAAGGTGGGAGTTGTCACAGCTTATGACACTGAGCTTTGAGAAGATTCTGAAGAGAAGCTGCAGAGGATAGTGGACAAGTTTGGAAGGGTATGTAAAAGGAAATTACAAGTGAACACAGGAAAGAGCAAACTGATTAGGATAACAAAAACTTTAGGTAACTGAAGATTGGATACTAGACTGGAGGGAGTGAGTATGGAGAAGTAAATCTTTTCAGATATTTGGGAGTGGATGGACTTGTCAGCAAATGAGGGTAAATAAGGTGAGTGGTGCACTGAGGAGTCTATGGAAACAAAGAACATTATCCATGGAAGTAAAGAGGGAAATGTATGAGAGCATAGTGGTACCAACACTCATGTATGGATATGAAGCACGGGTGGTAAATGTTGCAACAAGGAGAAGGCTGGAAGCAGTAGAGATGTCATGTCTGAGGGCAACGTGTGGTGTGAATATAATGCAGAGAATCCATAACTTGGAGATTAGGAGGTGCAGGGTTTCTAAAGGTATTATCCAGAGAACTGAGGAGGGGTTGTTGAGGTGTTTTGGACATTTAGAGAGGATGGAACATGACAGAATAATTTGGAGGGCACAAAAATATGTAACAGAAGGAAGGAGGGTTAGGGGTTGTCTTAGGAAAGTTTGGAGAGAAGGAGGAAAGGAGATTGTGTGCAAGGGGCTTGGACTTCCAACAAGCATGTGAGCGTGTCTGATAAAAGCAAGTGGAGATGAATGGTTTTTATGACTTGACGTGCTGTTAGAGTGTGAGCAAAGTAACATTTATGAAGGGAGTTAAGAAAACCAGTTAGCTGGACTTGAATCCTGGAGGTGGGAGGTACAGTGCCTGCACTCTGAAGGAGGGGTGTTAATGTTGCAGTTTTTTCTTTAACTGTAGTGTAGGCTTCCCTCTGGCAAGACAGTGATGGAGTGAGTGAAGAAAGTGTTTCTTCTTTTTTGGGTCACCCTGCCTTGGAGGGAAACAGCCGATGTGTTAATAAAAAAATAGTACCAATCATGCAAACTATGACAATAACCCCTATTTATTCTTTTTTTTTTTAATGAAATTAGTTCCAGATGACTGGTAATAGTTTTACAGTGATTACTAATCTGAAAATTTCAACCTTCATATACGCACCTTTTTTGAACTCTGGGTAAAATGACATCACAGGCACGCTCATCTCTCAATAAAGTATCAATGTATTCATCCATGTGAGCAAGTTGGTACTGGCCCGAGCGATCCATAATGCGCAGTTTCCTGTAGTCATTAAGAAGAGGTTCCAGGTATTTGTAGCAATCCAAGGAACCATATACCAACCTCAGGTAAAATGCTCCCAAGGCACGAACATACCTGAAAAACATTGTGCCATTCAAGTATGACTATGTTAACTCTTCTCAATACTTTGTATTTAGTACAAATTGAAAGTTTAGTTAAACACCACTTTAAACTAAGTCAAAGCAATTATCTTCTAAAATAATTTAAACAAGACTATTACTGTACCAATTATTTTAAAATTTATACTATTAACCCTAAAACTGTTTGTATAATTTTGAAATGTTGTACCTGTATTTTTCAATATTCAATAGAAATGACAGCTCTCTTAAAAACTTTATTTCTGTAAAGAATAATACATTATATTATTTAATTAGGATAATTGTCATATATAAACTACTTTATAGAAAACCCCTTTTAATGCAAAGCATTTTGGGAAGCCTTAAAACTAAATTATAATTATGATTATCTGAGAAAAGGAATAAATACATAGTTTTTAAAATATTGGAGGTATTTCATAATTAAAAAAAATATTTATATATAACTGATCATATAGAATGGATGAGTTGAAGGAAAGATAGACAAGGACAGAGACAATACAGGTTGAAAGAACTGATCAGCATTATTAATTGTTGTTAGGATCACATTAGGGAAAAGAGGTGTTTTTATATAGCAGCTTTAACCCTTTCAGGGTCGACAGGCCCTGTCAGAAACTTGTTCTCAGGGTCGGCTAAATTTCAAAAAAAAAAAAAAAATTTTATGAAAAAATAGTTTTACTGAACATTATAGGCTAAAAAAAAAAAATTTTACCATCAATACTTACTGAGATGTGGAGGCGTGAAGTTGATGAAAAAGGGGCACCATGTGGCAACATCGCCAACTGCCGTGACCCGGTATTCTTTTATTTACTTTCTTATGTACTAATTTCTATTATTTTTTAATTCTTCTTTTTCCAAGTAACTTTTATGGCCTGTGAGACCAGTATGATCAGTATTTTGTAAGTTATTTCTTTTTCAATACTACACAATAAGGGCGTAAACACTGTTGTCATTGTTTTGTTTACAAAAAATATTTGTACAAACAAACAATATGAAATGTTGTTTATTACTATTTTTCTATATTTTATATATACATAAAAAGTCACAGGGAATGTTTCTAGAAGTTCTGCAGCCTGTGGAAGTCTTTGAAACATGGTGTCATGCACAGTGGCATTTTACATTCTTCACACATAAAACGAGTGTCTCTGCATTGTTGTGGGCGTTTTCTTGTATGTGCACAGACATAACACCTCTTTCGAGCCTTTTTCTTGAAAGCAGTAGCAGGCAGTTTTACCAGGAAGTGATCACCATGCTTCAAACAAGAAGGAAGTAGTTGAAAATTTGGTGGGCGGTCTATTGCAGGTGTTGTTCCTTGGAACTTGAATACTATTTGTCTGATGACAGACAAACAGAATTCGCCGTATGGTGGTTTGTTTCTGGTCCTCATCTTATACATATTATAAGCATTCAGCATGGAAATGTCCAGAAGATGGAAAAAGAGTTTTATGTACCACTTATAACTCTTGCGAACACAATCAGCAAACCCAATCTGCATGTCACATTTGTCCACTGAACGCATATTGAGGGTGTAATCAATCACAGCTGCAGGTTTTAGAATGGGTTCATTGCTTTCTCTATGCTGCCTGCCAGTGTCTGCCATTTCATTAGGGTGAACTGATGACAACAGTGTGACATCTCGTTTGTCATGCCACCGAAATGCCATGATGTCATTGGCAGCAAACGCCTTCACCTCACCTCTACGAGTGCCAGCGTCGAACCTGGGCATATGTTTACGATTTGCACGCACTGTGCCACACACATCTGTCATGTTCACTCGCAAAAAATCACTGAGTGTGGGGCTTGTGTACAGTTATCTGTATATAATATATGCCCCTTACCAAGATATGGTTCCATCATTGTTCTAACCACATCACCAGAGATGCCCAATAACTTCCTGGTATTTTGCAATGTATAACTTCCAGTGTACACAATAATATCCAATACCAGACCATTGTAACAATCACAAAGCACAAATAACTTTATACCAAAGCGTTTCCTCTTGCTTGGTATGTACTGCTTGAAAGAGAGTCTTCCTTTGAACAGAATCAAAGACTCGTCAATAACAAGCTTCCTAAAGGGATAAAAATACATATTGAATTTCTCTTTCAGATACACAAACACATGCCTAATCTTATATAACCTGTCGTTTCTGTCAGGCCTGGTTTTGTCTGAGAAGTGAAGCATACGTAACATTAGCACAAATCGATTCACTGGCGTTATATCACTGAAACCTGGGATTGCAATCAGGCAGTCTGTTGACCATTATGATTTCACAATGTGCTTATACACATGTGGCATAAGCATTATTGTGGCAAAGAAAAGATACATCTCAGCCACAGTTGTCTCCTTCCACTGGTGTAGACGTGATTTTGGTGAAAGTATTGTGTTTGCCATGGTGTACTCGTAGTATGTGTTGCTTTCCATGACAACACTTTCCATCAGGGGTTCGTCAAAGAATAACTCAAAACATTCCAGTTCACTGGTATTGTTCCCAAGTGTACAACATGGCCATATTCCACTTTGGCTGTCATCAAACTGGTGGGGATTTGGAACAAAATTGACAGATTCCTGCCAATCCCAGGTGTGGTCTGCTGGTGGGTACTGGACAATGACAGGTGGTTGTGGAGGTGGTGGTTGTGGAGGTGGTGGTTGTGGAGGTGGTGGTTGTGGAGGTGGTGGTTGTGGAGGTGGTGGTTGTGGAGGTGGTGGTTGTGGAGGTGGTGGTTGTGGAGGTGGTGGTTGTGGAGGTTGTGGTTGTGGAGGTTGTGGTTGTGGAGGTTGTGGTTGTGGAGGCTGGTGTGGTGGGTGGGTGGGGGATGGTGGCCTTTATTGTAGATCAGCTGAGGCAGCGGCGTGGGTGGCAGCATGGCCCACTGCTGGTGCCTCACGGCCGGCACCACCACTACCACCACCATGCACATTTTCCATCCCAACTGCAACACTATCATCGGCATTTTCACTGTCTGTTCCTGTTGTACAGCCACGGGATGTACTCCAAGATGTACTCCTTCCCCTTGGAATAGCATATTGCACACTACCAGAGTGCATATATCGTCGTATATACTGACGCTTCACTGGGAAATATTGCACTTCACTATCACTACTGGAACTACTTTGAAGAGCTTGTAGTTCATATTCACTATCACTATCATCACAAATGCTCACATCTGAGTCTGGGATTTGGGAAAATAGGAGTTTCCTCTTTGATTCTGGTACAACTGAACGTGAACAAGACGGCCCAGCACCAGAGGTGGAAGGCTGAGGGTCGTCTGGGTTTTCCTCACTATTACCGATATTATGGTCATTAGTTCCGGTCAAAACCTCACCAAAACCTTGAAACTCATCTTCACTGGCACTTCCATCTGTATTAGAACTGTCACTGGGGAACAAAAGTGTCCCAATTCGCCGAGGAGTGAGGAACTTCTTACTGCGAGGCATGGTGGACATTGTTTACAAAGATGGTGTTCCCACAATGCACCACTGGGTCCCAGATTTTTTTTCCTACTGCGCACACCCACCACACAGACCCATTCTCTCACATCTAGGCCTACCAGCCTTTTCCTGCGAGATTTGACGGCGCTAGAATTTATGCGTACTAGTACGTCAAAAACCCCTGCTCGTAAGCCGTACTAGTACGGCCGAAACCCTGAAAGGGTTAAAGTAGCTGGCAGAGAGAGATTCTGTGAAAAACTATATATTCTTATTCTCATTACAGGTCTCTCTCAACATTCGCAAGGGTCAGGGGATGAAGAGCCTCGCGAATGTTGAAAAATCGCGAATGTTTGGTGCTCCAATATATTGTAGGTAAATATAACAATACTGCTTCCTTAACTTGTTGAACCATGAACAATCATAAAGTACATACATGAAAACATCGTAAATTGTACTAAATATATACATGTTATGCTTTAATAACATGTATGTTATTAAATACCACAGACTCCACCACTGCCTCCACCAATGCCTCCACCACTTCCTCAACCACTGCGAGTCCCTGCTACCCTCCCTCTGACCCCCGCAACTGGCAGCCAGCCCTCCCACCACTCAGTGTGGTGAGTGTTTTGTTTGTTCATTATTTGCTATTAAACTACAGTATAAATAATGTAAACCCATTCATGACTGCATATTGGAATGGCTATTCGGACAGGTAATAGAAGGTGACATCATGTGTTTACTCTTGAACACAGCAAAGAATCAAACATTTCTGCTACTGCTAATAATAACAATAATAATAATAATAATAATAATAATAATAATAATAATAATAATAATAATAAATACGATATAATTGAAGAAGGAAACTGTACAAAAATACGAGGGAGTGGTTGACACATCGTCAGTGTGGCTTTGTTTATGCTGGAGTGAACATTAGTCTCCGTGCTCTTCCAAACATTTCACAATAATTCATTGTGTTTGGTGCTTGTAGATTGAGTGCGACTGGAGTGGTATAGGCAGTGGTTGAAGCAGTGGTTGAGGCAGTGGTTGAGACAGTGGTTGAGGCAGCGGTTGAGGCAGCAGTTGAGGCAGTGGTTGAGGTAGTGGCTGAGGCAGTGGTTGAGGCAGTGGTTGAAGCAGCGATTAAGGCAGTGGTTGAGACAGTGGTTGAGGCAGCTGTTGAGGCAGCAGTTGAGGCAGTGGTTGTGGTAGTGGCTGAGGCAGTGGTTGAGGCAGTGGTTGAGGTAGTGGTTGAAGCAGTGGTTGAGGTAGTGGTTGAAGCAGTGGTTGAGGCAGTGGTTGAGGCAGTGGTTGAGGTAGCTGTTGAGGCAGTGGTTGAGGCAGCGGTTCAGACAGTGGTTGAGGTAGTGGTTGAGGCAGTGGTTGAGGTAGTGGTTGAGGCAGTGGTTGAGGTAGTGGCTGAGGCAGTGGTTGAGGCAGTGGTTGAAGCAGCGATTAAGGCAGTGGTTGAGACAGTGGTTGAGGCAGCGGTTGAGGCAGCAGTTGAGGCAGTGGTTGTGGTAGTGGCTGAGGCAGTGGTTGAGGCAGTGGTTGAG